TCTCTCTCTCTCTCTCTCTCATTTGACATGGAGAGGATCTTCATGTTTGTAATAATTTGCATATTACTTCCAAAGCAACAGAGTTCCAATTTAGAATTTATTGCAATCAGAAGTACCTAAAGTGGTAGAAATGCTCTGTTTTAAGCCACTGGGAGAGAGGAAGAGGTTGGTCTAGCACTGATAAATGTTTGGGACTTGCTTTCCTCCTTTCTAACTGAAGCCAGGACTTTGGAAAGGAGACTAGGAAAGCTGGACTCTGTGTGGTGTTACAGGCGACGAGCTGTTTTCTAAATCTAGGGTGATGAGGGAATTCTTGCCACTTGACTTCCATCTCCTCCTCTTGACGCCTTCCTTTCTCCAGCTCACTTCATGTCATGAGGATGCGAGAAGTCAATGGGATGCTTGAAACTTACCCAAAGAGTGGGCCTCTAGAGAAAAAAGGATAGGGTTTGGTATTTATTTAGATACTTTTGAGTGCTGTCTTACTGGAAGAATATTCAAGGGTGAGGAAACTGGAGATGGTTTCTTTTTCCCTCGTCTCCTACAGTTCTTCCCGGAAAATAAGACTGGATCTTATGTTAATTTTTGCTCCAAAAATCTACATTTATTCATTTATTCATGTACAAAAATCTACATTTATTTAAACTGTCCTGTCTGGCTGACAATCTTAACTGGGGCTTATGTTTGGGGTAGGGCTTATATTATGAGCATCCTGAAAAATCATGCTAGGGCTTATTTTGGGGAAACACGGTAGATACATACTCTCCTGATGGGTTTCTCAATTTTGGCACAGTACATGTAGGGTTGTGCATTTGGGTATTATGTTCAGGGATTGGGTGTTTGGTTAAAGAAATACCAAATTCTTGACAACTCATGGAAGGGAATCTCTATCAATTTGGGATTCATTGGGAAAATAGTCAATTGAAATTCAGGAGAAATGTGGTTGAATTTAATAAGCCTGATTTGCCTCATTTTTTGTCCAGCCACCAGATGCAGCTGGTGAACACTAGCCAATCCAGGCAGGACATTCTAGGTTATTATTCATTCCTCTTTGGCTAAAATGGCCCTTTTGGGAAAAAAGTGGAGCAGCGGTTGAGAAATCCTGACCTGTTTGTATTGAGGAAA